AATAACATTGATAAGAACATGTTAAATAAGGAATACATGAAATCGAAGTAGATATGACAAGATAACAGAGACAATAAGAAATATGTATCGGAGCTCAGGAAACGAATGTGAGAGAAAAATAAAGCCATTAAAGACATGAAATCATCATTAGTAGCAATATAGTTGCAAATGAAAAGATAGAAACATAGCAATCCATCTCAAAAAAATCAAATAGGAAAAGAATAAGGATATAAAAGCCATTATAGGCATTATAGAGAAAACTTAAAAAAAAAAAAAAAAAAAGCAAAACTGGCCGGCCGGATGTGTTGGCTCATGCCTGTAATCCTAGCACTCTGAGAGGCCGAGTCGGGTGGATCGCTCAACGTCAGGAGTTCGAAACCAGCCTCAGCAAGAGCAAGGCCCAGTCTCTACTAAAAGTAGAGAGAAATTAATTGGCCGACTAAAAATATATGGAAAAAAATTAGCCAGGCATGGTGGCACATGTCTGTAGTCCCAGCTACTCAGGAGGCTGAAGCAGAAGGATTGCCTGAGCCCAGGAGTTTGAGGTTGCTGTGAGCTAAGCTGATACCACGGCACTCTAGCCCAGGCAACAGAGTGAGACTCTGTCACACACACACACACACACACACACACACACACACACACACACACGCGCGCGCGCGCGCGCAAAAGATATGCTTAATTGGTATAAAGAGAATAGAACAAATGAAAAACAAATCTTCCTGAAAATGAAAGTTAAAAAGGCCAAATGAGTCCCAGAAAATAAAAAGTATACAGGCTAACACGAAGACATAGCCACCAAAATTCTTGAAATTGAATGATGAGTAAAGAGTTCTGTGGACATCCAGAAATAAAATTCCGTGTGAGCATCGAATCACTTAAAAATAAGGAAAGTCAGGCTGGCATCAGACTTCATGATGGTAATGTTCAATGTTATCAGGGAGTGGAAGAATATATTCAAAGGCATCAGTGAAATTAATAGTAAATGCCTAATTTGATACCCAGATAAGTTATAAGTTTTCCAATTATAAATACAAAACAGATATTCTTAACAGCATACGAGGAATATAGCACACAAGAGCTTTTCTTGGTAAAAAACAAGGAACTTAGAAATGAAAAATCATGCTGAGGAGACAGATAATAAGTGTTTAATCCTGTAATAATAAGAACTAGGAATAAGAAAGTCTGTGAACTCTGATTAACAAACAAAATTAAGAAAATTTAGGGGGTAAACTTGGGGGCAAAGGAGTGGAAGTGTTAATTTATGTTTTCATTTCCAAAAATTTAGGGGGGTACAAGTGTTTTTGTCACATGGATGAATTGTATCAGGCTGAAGTCAGAGCTTTCAGTGTACTCATCACCAGAATAGTGTACGTTGTACTCCACAGGTGATTTTTTTCTCTCTTATCCACTTCCTACCCTCCCCTCTTCTTAGTTTTCAATGTCCATTACATCACCCATCATCCTTTGTACAAAGAATCAACAAATCATTTCTAAATTGAAACAATCCTCTTCTGAAAAAAAATGATCCTCTTGAGATACGAATCTGACATTTCACAGACAATAACCACTAAAATTGTAAGTTCAACCAACTACAGATATCTATCAGTTTGTTAATAAAAAGTCTGATAAAGAAAAAACACACTCAAAAACATTGCTCCTATGAGAAATTAACATTGTGTGTTGGTATCTGCCTGTTCCACAAATGTCTCAAAGCTTTCTACTTGGTTCAAGAAAGTGTTTGAGTTATTGGTTATCAAGATATTTGTGATGATTTAATATCATATAGCTTTTGAAATTTATCTTCATAAGTTACACATTCCATCAAGCTAAAGAGTGCAAAATATAAGAATACAGTTTTAAATAATTCATCATTATAAAGAGTAGATAACACAAGAATGAATCAAAAATCGATCTGAATGAACCAATAATAATCATAATCATAATAATAATACCTTCTGGGTATGGAGCTGTAAAAACTAATCTCTTTAGAAATAGAATCATCACTGATTACTCTTTACTGGGGACTAGTAAGCTCTACATTGGCAAATAGGAATTTCTTAACTTGGCATTTTAACTACTTTTTTCACATTTCTATTTGTTTGGGAAGAGACATTGGCTCAGCAGCAACAAGTAGAATGAAGTCGTCACTGAATAGTGCTAAGATGCCTTGGGAACTGACAATGAACAGCAAAGAGATGCCTTATAAATTATGGGCAGTCATAACAGAATGCATATTGTTCAGACTGGTCCCTTATTATTTAGACTGTAACTTAGCAAATCTTACCCCTCTGGTTTTTCTCAGCCTGACAACCCTTTATTTCTCTTATCCTGTTTTAACAATTTTCAGAACATAAGATTTGGAACCAGAAAAACTTAGTTGAAATCTACTATTTACTATGTGGCTAATTTTGCAGAGATTTCCTCTCAGAATATTAGAGTTTTCCTCTTTCATTTAAAAATAATTATAATGCTGAGCTCAGAAAATTAGATAATAATAATATAAAAATATGAAAGTACTTTATAAATGTTACAGCATAAGTATAATAATAATAATTAAGAAGGAGGAGGAGATAGTAGTAATCAGGTTCTAAATTCCAACAGTTCTAGATTTCTAGATTTGTAGCCTAGGTTTGCCATTTATTTGCTATATAAATATAAATTTAGTTTTGTCATTTATAAAATAAGAGGAAAGATTTTTTCCAATAGTTGTGTGAGTTATAAGATATATTGAATAAAAATTATTCAGCATAATGTCTGGCATATAGTAATTATACCAGAAGTAAATCTTAGTTATTATTAATCATAATTTATCAAGTGTTTGTAACATACAAGGTATTTACAAATATTAATGCCAACTGATGTTCATAATACTACTGTAAGGCAGGCACTATTATCCGCAGATGATCAGAGAAAATATTGGCCTAAGGTTAGAAAATGATAGTTCTAGAATTTTCACCCAAGTCTGTCCAACACCAAAGTTCAAGAGGTTTCTACTATGTAAAAATACAATATATACTTATTTCATGTTAATTGTATACAATATAGTTATGTATAATATTTAATTGGTCATTATTTTAATGTCTACAGATCAGAAAGTTTTTTTAACAGCTTGATTATGCAGTTTCATTATTAGAGTTTGATCAAGTTTTAAAAGCTTTTCCAAATTTTTGTAAATTCATTATAGTGCAACAACAAATACAATATGCTGACAATAATTTTCTCTAGTTAATTACCATATTATTTATTTTTATTTTCCTTGTAAGTTTCAAGTGGCAGCAATATGATGTGGTATAGAGAAACACATTTTAGTCATTCGTATGTAATATTTTGTTGCAGCTTAAGAAAATTTCAACTAGGGTTATCTAGGACTCAAAGAAAACACTTGTCAATACATATCCATTGTGTCTGCAAAATTTTTATTTGATTTACAATACTATATATACTTTTTTTCTTTGCTCAAACAAAGGGACATATAACATGTTTAAAGAAAGCAAATCAATTTATACTGAACTCCTTCTAAATATGGGGTATACATCTTTTTCAGTAATTTTTTTTTAATCTCAGGTTACCTAGAACACCCATTCTTATATTTTTCCTAATATTTTAATCACTGAGAATATAAACTTCTAATCACTTAGTACAGATATTGGAGATATATTTTTCCTGAAATCTTCTCTCTTCATTTATCTAAAGCAGTAGTTTTCAAGAAGGGTCGTTCTGACTCCAGGGGACATTTAACAATGACTGGAGACATTTTTGATTACCACACATTGGAGAGGGGTGCTATTGGAATCTAGTGAGAAGAGGCCAGGGATGCTGCTAAACATCTTACAATGCACAGGACAACTCCCCACAACAAAGAGGATCTGACCCAAAACATCAGTGGTGCTGAGGTTGAGAAATTTTGATCTAAGGCTATCATTTAATCAAATTCATGATTAATAATAACAAAGCAAAAAGTTTTATTTTTTCCCAAATTCACAATTCAGGATACTATATATCTTAGATATGGACATTATGCTCTAAATTTTTACATAACTGCAGGCTAACATGACTGACTTATACTCTCACCAGTACATTTATTCATCATTTCTCCAGCAGACTTACTCTAAAATGCAAGTTGAAGTTGACATTTGAGATCCATTTTTATTCCCACTTTTTCTATGAAATTTTCATTAATGTCAATTTCCCTTTATCTTAGAATTTCTCTGAGTATTAACTAACTCAATGAAATAGAATCTAGTATGTGGCATATGTAGGCACCAAGTTACATTCTTCCAACTTCCCGCCCCTCCCCCTCCCACCCCAGAGCTTCATGCCTTATATTTTCTGATTTTCTTATTCACTATATTTAGCTACTGATGGGATATTTAATTGTAGAAAGTTTTGACATTTTAATTCACTTTTTTTGAGGATCTGTCTCACTTATTCCATAAAAATGTGTTTATTTGCATTACATCATTTTTTCCTTATACCCAAGCTTGCTTAGCACTAAATAACTAGTATTTGAATGAATGAGTAAAGAAAAAATATATGAAGAATGCAAGAAGACCAACATTTTCATATCAGTAGCTTCCAAGTAGTAACACAATAGTAATTCATCACTTTTCTTTATTGTATGCTCTTTTTAACATTCTATGAATTTTACAAACTGTTAGGATTTTAAAATAATGTTTGTGCTTAATATTGTTTTCCTTCATCTGCTTTAGAAGATGAAAACTGATATATATCAAAAAATGTCCAGCAATGTTTGAGATGTTTATATTTTGTTACATATATCATACCTTAAAAAGCACTATTAGTCCATTAAAAAATTTTATTTAGGCTCTATAATTTACTAAAATAATGTAATTTTCTAGCTATACTTTCTTTTGGAAATGTACCTGTTAATTACGAGGAGAGAGCAATAATTTCGAATAAAGATAAAGTGGGGAAGAAGAACAAAAGGTCTTTCTATTTTGAGGAATTTTAAAGTACATTTGTTCTGGTCCTTACAGAAAGTGTGGACTATGGGCCAGTGTTTGTGCAAGAACCAGATGATATCATTTTTCCAACTGATTCTGATGAAAAGAAGGTAGCACTGAATTGTGAAGTTCGTGGCAACCCAGTCCCCAGTTACAGGTAGAAATTCACTAATCATTTTACTTAAGCCTTAAAAAATTTCCATCAATGATATTCTGACATTCCCAGGGAGTATTATAATGTCTCAAGTAATTTTTACATATTTTTCTTCTGATTTTTCCTAAGATGGCTTCGAAATGGAACAGAAATAGATTTGGAAAGTGATTATCGCTACAGTTTGATAGACGGAACCTTCATTATAAGCAATCCAAGTGAAGCAAAGGATTCTGGTCATTATCAGTGTTTAGCAACTAACACTTTTGGAAGTATTCTTAGTAGAGAAGCCACACTTCAGTTTGCCTGTGAGTAAAGAATATGATTTTTCTGTTTATATGTATATAGTGTGTATACACAGTATGTATTTTTAAATTTTAGTTGAGCAAAAGCTTAAGATCTCAAATTTTAAAATGTGATAAAACCATGGTAAGGATTGAACTATGCAAATAGTGCATTTCTTCGTGGGATATTTGAAATCCCCTAAAATATTTTCTGTCTTCAAAACAAACCTGATATACTGCTCTAGGAGATTAAGACCTACTCATGAAATGAGATAAAGTTTTAAAATTCAAATACCTTTTTGAAATCTGAGTTTCTCTGTCTGCTTTTTAAAATATTTACTTATCAGCTTTTAATTTTCTACTGCCTATTATAGTAACTATTTCTTATGGATTCTTCAGAATATATGATAGAATATATTTGAAAAATTCTGCTTATAGGTAGGTAACCAAATAAATGCCTCTCACATGCTAGTATTTAAGATTCTGATTATAGCTTTCACATGTCCCAATTTTTGTATTAAAGATACTGTATGTGCATATAAACACATATACAAATATAAACATTTTCTAAATTAGATCATATATCTGATTAACTAAATGTATTAATTTCTTAAAAACTCTTGAAAATATTTTACATATGAGAGCTTATATAGAATTGAAAATAGGCTACCAGGTGAAAACTTTTAATATTATTTCGTAGTAAGTAATCCTACTTGAATTTAAATTCTTGAGGTTTATAAGCTTTAAAAAATAGAATGGAGGACTATGAGTCTTTATATTAGTAATTCAGATATAATTGTATTGGCTACATAAGTGATGATAAAATGATTTTTTAAGTTAAAATCATACCTTGAAGAATGTAACTATTGATTTTTCTCTATATAATCTTTCTCACATATCTTTTCTAATTAACCCAAAATTCAGACACCCTATTTAATAAAGAAGTCTGAAATAGAAAAGAAAGAATAAAAAAATGATAAATAATACAGTTTGGAGAACACTTAGCTAGGTCCTGGCAAAATCTAAATATCATCTTTTAAAGTAGATTTGGCTAAGTTCAGATAGGTACATTTACATATGCCAAAAATATCAAGATATCAGCCTAAATACACTTTTTTTTGTTTTAGAAAATATTTTGTGGTGTATCACAGAACCTAATACTTTCAGTGTGCATATTAACAAAGTGACCTAATAAACAAAATAAATAACTCTTATAATCACTCCTCTATTCAATTGAGCAGTCTTTTCAAAACAGATACAGCAAATCGAGAGAACATGTCTTACAAATATTTGTGCCTTATACCTTTTGGTCAATATTATCTGACACAAGTACCAATCAGCAGTAGCCTATATATCATTTGAGTTTCCTTCAGTAGTAGCAAATTATGCCAAGATTTTTATCTGCATGCACTTAAGCAGAAATCTAGTTTAGATGTCCATATCCTGTGCCTTCCTAGGCTTCCTGAGAAGACCAGACATATTCACCCTTACCTGGCCTGAGCACTTTGACACCAGCATGGTGTCAATGACCAGGTTCAATAACCAGGCGTAGGAAGAATTATCTATTTTATGTATCTTCCTTATACAGCATGAAGCTGTGGTCAGTTTGGTTTAGAACAATATTTGCCTATTTTTAACTTAAACATTATGGATAGACATATATAAGTATTCAAGGTAGCATCTTATAACCCTTCCCCCCAACCTGCCCCCCCCACCCCATGCTCCCCACCTAACTCAGGCAGTAAGTTTGATATGCTTAAGCACCTCCAAAGTGAGGTATCACAAGAATGGAAGAATATACACCACATGTACTCACCATCAAACTGGCACTGACTCAACACTAAGGTGCTCACACAGTAGTAATATTCTTTGGGGGTAGGGGAGTTGGAGGTGGGTAAACTCACAACTAATGGACGGAGTGAGCGTTGTAAGCGGGGAAAGAACACATCTCAAATAATGGTTGGGATGTGGCAAAGTCATAACGTGTAACCAAAATGTTTGCACCCCTATAATTTTCTGAAATAAAAAATAACAATAATAAAAAAAGAACCTATAGGTGCCTGGTTGAAGCAGACAGCCAATTACTTACATAGGGAAGACCACTCCTGCCTTGAAATCCCTTCCTCAACTAGCTGGCATTATATTTAGACTCATGACATAAAAAAGAATTAAGTTCCTTAGGTTTAGCTCTTCCTTTTTTCCAGGGTATCTTTGGAAATAAATGCAAATATGGGTGGTAGAGAAAAAAGATGAAGACTTGATCAACCTGTTTTCTATTATCTTTGAGTGGGAGTGTGGGTGCCATAGGATTCTGGAAAACAGGGTAGTTTGGAGATTAAGGGGAGAACCTGAGATAGGAAGTTGAGTAGAAAAAAGAAAAGGGGATTTTGAAAGAAAGCGAAAGGATACAAAGGTAAAGTGATACAGTGGCAATACTCCTTTACATCCTGATTTTCTTGTGTCCAGGCTCATAGATATATATAGAATAAAGCCATTATTTATTGTTGATAGAATGTTTAATGTCAGAAGTAATTTTATGGAGAGATACTCATTACCTTTTATACATTTTAAAGCTGAAATCATTAATCTTTTATATCCATCAGCCACTATTTTTCTAGAAATTTAAAAATTCATTGCCCAACTGATATTTCAAAAGTAATATATTTAGTAAGTTTAGATAATTATTAAAACATATTTACTAAAATTTTACTAAACATTTATTAAATATTGAAACCTAATGCATGTGTCTGGTAAATGTTGTAAAATGTTAAAGTTAGACGAGTTTATAAATTATCAAAATGATTGTAAAACTCTTTTCACTAATACAGTACTTATGAACTCTATACTTATCCTTGAGACATACTTTTATGCTTTACTCAGTTTATAACAATTTTACATAAGTATTTTTACCTTTTATACATAAATGTTATCATACAGTGTACAATAACCTTATCAAATATGTTTTCTTTACACAATGCCGGTGCTATCATGATCTTCTAAAATCAAATAGAAAAGGAGGACCATATTACCCAATAAAAAGTCAAGTTTTTTTAAATTTCAGCATTTTACGGTGATACAAATGTTTAGGTCACATATATTGCCTTTGCCCCACCTGAGTCAGAGCTGGAGGCGTGTTTATCCCTAGACAGTGCACACTGCACCCAGTAGATGTGAATATATCCATCCCCTCCTCCCCGCTCCCACCTGCCCACACCCGATGAGTTATCAACTAACTGAATTTTGGTTGGCCCTTTCAAATGTGAGAGCAAACTGTATCTCTTTTATAGTTAAATTTTATTTTTGTTATATTTAATTTTTGTTTATATTTTATTTTTGTTATATTTTGTTATATTTAAATTTTATTATATTATATTTAATATGACATTTTAAAATATTCAGCTTTTACTTAGGCTTTTTCCTTTTAGAATATGACATCTTTGCTTGAAATGATGTGATTCTAGAACTTATTGGAGAGTGTTAAATACACATAGTATGAGTCTCCCCTAATCATATTCATATAAAAAGTACCAATTTATATTTTATAATAGATCCATATTTAACTGAAGAATCAAGTTATCTGTATGCTAACAATACCATATTTATGAAAGATAATAAAATTTAAATATATCCTATCAGAGTCATCTTTCCTTTGTATAAAATTACATATACATGTATATATGTGTATATATATATTTTTTTAAGAAAACTTTCTGATTGTTACTATTATTAAAATCACATGATGTTTTGCAGATTGAACATATTCATATACATTTATAAATTGCCATAATTTGGCTTGTGCTAGTGAAACTCCTTTAATGCTAGCTTCTTTGTCCTCTTATTAGGCAGAAATATATTTTAAAATATTCTAGCTTTCCACTAATAGCATCTTGATTTTCTGTTCCCCCAGCCAAGGATAGACTCAGCTACTTTTCAATGACCATAATGTTATAGAGACTAAAATATAGATGCTAGAAGTACATATCAGATGGCACCAAATAAGTTCTGGAGGCAGGTAGGGTATCATTATTGTTAAATCAGATTAGTGGAAGATTTTTTTTTTTAATATGTTCTTAAGATCTCAAGCTCACATTAATATCTTATGATCACTGAATGCTTCTGTGGTAGGCCATGCTCTGTTTTCAATATACTAACTCATCCTTATAACAAAAATATGAGTTGTTATGTTATTAAAAGTAAATCCATTTTATAGATGTTACCTCTAATTTAACTCTAGTAGTACCTGTTTTTTTCTATTCTAATATAAATATGTATTGCATTTCTTTTATGGTATATCCAATTTGATTTTTGATTTCTCTTCCAAACTATATTAAGTTCAATCTTTTAAAAATCTGTAGTATATGCTTGCTTCATCAACCACCATTTTATAATGAATTTATTAACACCTATATGATGTAACAAAAATAAGTGTTAGAGCAAAGATAAGCATGTAATCACAATGTTCTGCATTTATTCTCATTGACCAAATTTAGTTAATATGCCACTTAATTTTCCTTATGGAAGTATAAGAGTTTAAGAAATATCGGGCTTCTTTTTAGATCTGGAATTTTGGGATTTATAGCAGTGTTAGCATGTAATTATTCTTTCTTATCATATTTTCTCTTTTAATAAACTTTACACTTATAATTTTATTTATTAAATTACATATGGTTAGGTCTTAGAAATCTAAATTTTCTAAGTGAATTTGGGGCAAGACGAAGATGACTATGATTATTATCAAAAGCTGATAGTGTCATCACAGGTCCTGGCATTTGCAGAAAGTGGTGATAAGATAGTGAGTTCGCACCTTTTACATAGTGATGTTGCAAAAATAAAATGTATGCTTGGTGTGTGGAAAAATTAAGGAAGTATAAAACAAATTTAATGTCTTTCAAAGTTATGTTTTTATTCATTTGGCACCCATCATATCACTAAATTAAAAAATAGCAAATATATATTCATATAATTATTTTATTTTATTAATATATTTAATCTACACCTCTTTCTAAAGGTAATTTATTTGATTT